ATCTGTACCCAGCTGTTGCTGCTACCCCTGGAAGCTCTCTCACTCTACAGAGATGTGAAATAGCTGGGTCTTCAGGAAGCCAGTACTGACCAGAACACTCAAATACAAGAAACAGCGGTAACACACCATGGAAGAGTAAGTTGAACACCTAGTCCAGCGTGACTAGAGACTTTGGAGTGGCAATCAAAAATTCACAAAATGGGCCGAGTCGATAGCTCAATTGGTAAAATATTTGTTATACAAGCATGAGGACCCAAATTTGGATCCCTGACATCCACATTAAAAAATACAGGTGCTGATGTGCACATCTGCATCCTCACTGCTGTGCGGTATGGAAGCAATCAGGTCCCTGGAAATTATTAGCTTGCAAGTCTAAGCAAAGGGTGAGCTCTGGGTTCTGTGAGACTCCCTGTCTCAAAAAGTAATGTGGAACATGATCAAAGAAGAAGCCTGGCATTGTCCTGATTCTATGTGCACACATATCCACAAACACATGTGCACATGCCCACAGCAATATCCACATAAGCATATACATGTTTATGTACACATACATGTTTATGTACACACACACGCACATGGCAGAGAGGGCAGAAAACATAAAGGACTAGGGCATGCGACCTACAGGAACTCCATGTCAAGTGTGTGAAAGGGAGGGACAGAAGCTAAGCCCCATGCAAGACTTCTCTTGAGCAGGAAACCCCTATAGCTGTGCTCGTTTATAATTTTATTAGGACAAAACTGAAAACGCTTTTGCCCACTGTAGCACCTAGGTTGAGTGTGTTTTCATTTCTTCTTTGCTATTCCCTCCTTCCTTTCTTCAGGAAGATTGTGAACACACACAACACCACACTGATTCTCCTATCCCTCCTTTAACTTCCCAGTTGGATCTGAGAGTGGCAAACTCCCTTTCAGTCACTGAGTTTTCCAAACAACACAATTGAATTCTGACAGCGAGAGCTTGATGTTCCTGCCTACCCTGGGCCACCCTCTGCACAGATCTCTATACGATGTTCGTAAAACATCAGCATGACTGCATTGAGTGTGACATGTTGTTTCTTTCTGAGCCCACCTTATACTCCTGCATCCTCTCCTCCACTCTGGTCCTAACCTCCGCACCCAGCAGGAAACCATCTCCCAGTGTCGCTCTTCTCTGCATACTCCACCTCTGTAAACCCTTTGGTAGCATCTTCCTTGCAAGGCAGCTTGTTCCTTTTGCCCCTTTTAACTACTACAGTATGGCAGTTGTTAAATGGCATTCTCGTTGCCTGGTACTTAGAGGGTGACCAACAAACACCCGTTGAACTGAACTTGGCCTCTCTTTGATGTGTCCAGAGGCAAGAAGACTGTGAAAACGTTCTTCTAGGAATTCCCATGGCATTTGAACAATCAGCAGTGAATAGGGAGTTTAAAAAGAAATTATCCATTCGTAAGTACCATAACAAAATGTACAAATATCAACGCTCTGGCAACTAATCCAGGCAAAATTCTGAAGCTTGCCTGGGCAAGAGAATTACCCTGACAAGAAAGAAAAGGCCAAAGAACAAGCTTACATGGTTGGAAAGAGTGTCCCTTATGTTGACATCTGAAAGAAAAGATCAAGTGTACTAAGAAGTTGCCTTAGAGATATCGCCCAAACAGAGGCTGGAAAAGTCTATCCACATTAAGTAGGAAGAACATCGCATTCTCTTTACTAAGAAAGGCAATCGGAATGGGTGGGGTAGGTGTCAGTAAAACCACAGTGAGGACATGTGAAAGAATGGTGGTTTGTTGGGTGTTAATCCTGACAAGTGTATCCTTCACTTAATAAAAGTACAAGATCAACACACAACGTCTAGTTCAGTACCAATTAGCAGATAATTAACAAAGCTCAGAGGATCTTCTTCTCTTCTTCCTCATCAGTAAGACCAGAGCCCCTTTGAACTCTGACCTTCTAAGTTCCAGGAAAGACAACAGCGTATCAGAAGAGGCACCGCATTTTCCCACAGGGAGTTGCAAACTCTGTTTCTTTTGGTGTGCCTTTGACTTGGCTTCACCTTGATTACGGATTCAGTTTGGAAGTGTGGACCTCTTGCAAAGCCCACACAGTGTGCCAGGGTAGTGATGCCTAGACATTTTATATCTTTCTATGTCTCAGCTCCCATTTCTGCAGATGGAGGGACGGCATCTCCCCCTAACCTCTCCCCCTGCTGCAGGTCAGACAGAGGAGACGGGCTGTGGCGCTCTTGAAAGCCATGGGCATCTTCAAAGAAGACATGAAGACTCGCGCTGTGGCCATTGAGTTTTAGTGGAGGATGAGGTTCTCTGCCACCAGGATACTGTGTAACTTCACCCAGTAAAGGTGACCACGATAGCGACAGCTGCAGCTAGTAAGGGCACTAGGTAAAGAGGGTCACTCACCCCTGAAAAACCAGCATATTTACTTTGTCCTCATCTAAGGACGGTTGGTGAGAAGTGCTGGCGCTCAGACAGTTTTAGGACCAGCTGAGAGGGGCCTAGGACTGCATCTGTGCCCCTGCCCCTTCACCAGGGGGTTAAAGCACAGGCAGCTTCTCTGTAATCTCATCACTGGAGCCACGGGGCCGTCTCTCTGGAGCGTGTCATGAATTCTCATTTTCCCTAACTCTAGTCTGAACCGAATTTATGGCTTCTCTTTGTCATTGGCTATAGAAGATTTTTAACAATTAAGAAAGAGGAAGCTTTATTTAAAAAAAAAAAAAGCTTGACATTTTCAAGCTGAAAATATATTCATTATTTATCTTTCAAAGGAAAAATGTAGAGGAAGAGTATTTTGCCAGAGCACCACGGAGCATGCTCCCTGGGTCCTCTTGGTTCATTATTCACTTGTTGAATGAGCAAGTGCCAATTACTGATCCAGTAAATACTTACTAAATGCCTACTTTGCACTAAGTGTTATGCTTACTCTGGGGCCACAAACATGATCCTTGTTCTCCGCACCTAATAACGATCAGGGAAGGAGAAGGAAGAGACTGAGATGAAGTGAGCCCCGTGCCTGCACCTGGTGTTTTTCTCATCAGCTTCCTGTACCAAGTGAAGCAAGAGGAGAGATGGCAGTGTCCCCACCAGGGACCAGGAACCCAGGCACAAGAACCTGCCCGTGCACATGGAATTTAGAACTAACGGGATTCCCAAACTGGCCTCCTTCACACCCACTCATGAAGTTTTGTGAGAACAGAAACTAAAGGGGAGGCGGGGGATGGCACAAAGCGTTAGCCTGATTAAAAGCAAACCATCAGCATTTTAACTGAATTTCTTTCCAGTTCATTTTTCTACACGTAGGTTAATTTTAAAAGGTTTTAAAAGTGGGTTTCACAACTGTAACCAAAGAAGGGCCTACTGCATTTCATTGGACCTAGGACAACACTGCCTGTGGACTGCTCTGTTAGTCTTTATACGACCAGAAAGAGGGATTGCTACCGGCATTGGGTGCCACTGACTGAGAGATAGGCCCAGATTTTGGCAGCATTAAAACAGGAACACTCAAACAGTGCTTCACGAAGGTGACCAACTCTGACTTCCACAGAGCCCACACCACGCCGCCCACCTCTCTTCTAGAGGGTGCTTTCCAGACCACGGTCTTGGGTATCCTTTCATCAGACAAGCTGCTGGGCAGGAAGAGAACTCATTTGTTCTTTTTTATACAGCTTACCTTGGGCACCTGCAGCAGGCGCTTACAAAACCATTTCCTGGTGTAACTGAAGTATGAGAAAATGTTCCTAAGTAAGTAGAAAGCAAAAACTCCCACTGAACTGAGAAGCCTGAGCTTCTCTGGGAAAACAGTGGACCAGTAGGGAGTGTGGAAGATGAAGGAGCTTTGACTCAGCCAGGGATGCTGGCTTTCCAATGTCCTCTGTTGCTACAGATGACCACTGTCATCTTCTTGTCTCCTCCCTGCTGGTCAGGGCTCTACTCTGCGGCTCCTGTTCAAATTCAGCATCACGGCTGTTGAAGCCTACTATGTATGGACCTCACACTCAGAGGAAACACTGGCATGGCTAGGGACACCATCTATTAATTCCAAGTGATAAGCCATATAAACGTGTTATCGGTGAGAGGACAAAGATGAAAGGCCCACTTGTAGAATCATCCGATGGCATCTCAATGGACAGTATCATTTTTGCTTACAGAGAATTCTGACAACAGGAAATAGAAGTATTTGGCAGCTGGATTCTGTATGGTTTGGCATGGCAGTTCTCTGTGGAAGTCCACTAGCATTGCGTTCTTCAAATGACAAAATGGGTTTAAATAAAGAAAAGAAACGGAAGCAGACTCAGTTCTCCAAACGTGGTCCTTGTTGAACACAACACCAGCCTAGACCGAAAACCTCTGTTTCTTTTTCTTCTGTTCCTTCTGTTTCTTTTTCTTTCTACATGAATATCTATAGCCATTACTACATATGAAGAAATGTGTTGAGCTCCCTAAAAGATCTGATGATGGGCCAGATGATTCTGGCCTCAGAAGCAAGTTTATATATGAATAAAGAAGATATGTCTTAGTCAGATAAGCTACAACACGGAGAGAATGGAAGATCTACCAAAGAAACACAGGTGAGACACAGTCAGTTCAGAGCCAGCGGCATGGCATAGCTGGGGGATCCGGTGTCGACCTGACCTATCGGTAGGAGATGACAGATGACAGACAAGGACAAGCAGGGCTCTTGGGGTTCCCTTTCGCACAGTCTCCTGATCATTCAGAAGCACGGTGCTATTGCTACCGCCTGCCCTTGAGGTGTCCCATCACGGGGAACACAAATGATTGTCTTGAACAGAATACTATAGGTGTTACAAGTCAGTTCATTTGGGGAAAATACTATGGGGTTTTGTGCCTATGAGTGTACTAATAAGTGTGGCGGGGAGGGGAGGTCTAAAGGCTCAAGTCTGATGTAAAACAGAACATCTGAGACCTGCAGCTCATCACTAGGATAAAAGGCGACAACAAAACACTCCCTTTCAAAACTCAAAGGGCTGCCAGCCCCTGCTTACCATGGACGTGGATACCATTCGACTGAAAAGCAGGGTTTGTTTCTGGCTGGTAGGACTTCAGGAGTGAGCCTGGTGGCTGCTGGGTGTGCGGAGGCTGTGCTCTCTGCAGCAGTGACGGAGGAGCTGGGACTCTTCCTGGGCTCAAGTGCTGAGGAGATGGAGTCGGAGGTGCGAACCTGGGAAAACAATTCCAAAAGGCAGCATGACCAACTCTCCAAAGCCTTCTACGTCCCCATTCTGGCCCGACCTAAGGGTGACAATGTGCTCTTTCAAATCCCTTCATAACCCCTCTCTCTTCCCACCACTGAGTTCTTCTCTGAGACACAGAGAGAAGAAAAGACACCAACAAAGAAAACCTTAGTCACAGTTTGGGTTTGTCAAGCTTCTTAAACTGCATTTCAAATCCTCTGGGTTTTGTGAAATTCAAAGCACATCTATTGCCAGGCCCTTTTCCTGCTAATTTTAAAATCCACTCACATTTTAGGGGAAATTCGATTCGTATGTTACTGAGTCATTTACACTTAGCTCATAAACATTTTGTTTTGTAAGGCCTATCTGAGGTCCAAGAAGTGTTACGGGTCCTTATTTTGACCCTCTCTAACTGGAGTCTCCTTAAACAATACATTCTTTCTTGCCAAGAGTAAATTAACTTCGACCTCAAAGGTCAAATGTGGCCTTGAAACCCAGAACCTGAGAGGTCGGCTTGGGTTCTGTGCTAGGCGAAGAACATTCCTGATGGCGTAGAGGGGATGCAATGTACAGCATTCCTTGTCTTAACGTGGAACATTCACAAAATTGGTGGGTTTTTTGGTTTTGTTGAACCCAATGCCTTGCGCATGCTAGGCAAGCACTCTACCCCTCAACTCTGAGGGCTGTAGCCTCAGCCCCGAGTCCAAGAGTACTGGTTTCTGAAAGAAGATACACTGATATTTAAACAAGAAAAAAAAATCATCAAGTGACCTTGGACAACTGTGTATTTATCTTCTTGTTCTGAGGGTCTAAATCATAGATTTAGAATGACCTTTATTGTCTTAACAGAGAAGGAAGGTAAACTTCTGAGAACAGCCTTGCAAGTGGGAATATTCACAGAGAAAAATCAACAAGATGCTGAAAGTGTGTGTTGGTTCAGTTGGTAGAGAAAGAAACTGAGGGTCTTCCAATGCCAGGAAAATAAGCAGCGGAATAATTTGGGGTAAAGATATGCTAGCAATGAAGTGTTATACCTCTTCTCTCCAAAGTTCACGAACACAAAAGCATTTAATTGGTGCTTGTTTACACTATGCAGGAAGAAAGTCTTTATCTTGCACTAGGAAACACAGGTCATCGCCTGTGACATAAGTCGTTTTCTAGGAACGAATGACTCCACAAGCCTGGGCCACCTGAGCAAAAGGCAAGGTGCATTAGCCAAGTTCACAAAGCAATTCAAAGGGTCCTGATGCAGAGTATCTCAGAGGGCAGAGCCTCGACATTTCTGCTGTAGCAGTAAGAGCATGAGACAATGTGCCGTGTTCGCTTTGTATTTCATTTGTGAGGCGTAAGAAGACCATCTTAGGTTGCAGAGGAGCCAAGAGGAAGATAGGGCCTCAAAGCAAAGAGGTCAGAGCACCTAGGCAAAGCAGATGTGACAGGAGGCCTATGAACTGGTGGTCTCTGAGGTTTTTCTAAGGACGGAGAAGGGCAGCTGCGTGTCCCGTGCTGGCAAATGCGCACTTTTCGAAGCACATCCTCCTAACTGGGATTATCCAGAAGACTCTTATGTAAGTGGCCCTGAGAGAAAACACAGCAAGCGAATCCTGGCACTGGCCTGAGAACATCTAGTAAACCACGTAAGCCAGGAATCCCCATATGGAGGCTATTTTCTGGGGAACATGTCCTTATTGTGTCTCCGAAGTTACTCTGAGCTTGTAGGAGAGGAATGAGCAATTACGGAATCACGGACTCTGGGGATCCTGGAAGCCCCTGTTCTTACGGCCCCTGGGGTAGGAGAGGGGAGGGAACTGAACAGCGAGGTATGACCGTTATCCTTATCATGTTATCACATTGATGCTTCAACTTTGTTTGGGAAACAAAATAATTAAGACCGTCTCTTCTTTACTTCTTTGTTTGAGAACAAAAAACACAAGCTAAAAGGTCCTCTGGTCTTTCCTTCTGGTACCTCTGCTACCCTCTTTCATTCTGGGGCTGAAGGAGCAGAGCAATGAGTGGAAAGCCAAGTTGGGATTCTTTGGGGACCTTGGTACAATCAGAAGGCATAACCTACCCCCAAACATGGTGATCAATTTGAATCACATTAGCTTGGTTAGTAAGGAGGAAAAATGGTGTACAAAGAGTGCAAAGGAAGTCCAAAGTTCTTCCAAGTACACATCTAATGCTTTTATCATTTGCAGTGACACGGTCAATGGCTAAATTATGACTACTAATGAAGAATACAAAAATAAAAGGGTATAATTTATTAAAATATTTTGAGTCATCTATAGGTAATTATATTACTCTAGATGTAGATTCTGTATAGTATGGTTTTATACAATTATGCACTCATTCCAAATTATTCTTACCTACTCATACAAGTTCCTGGGCATATTTTCTTGGATATTACATATTATTTAATACTGGTAAGGATAAATAAAAAGAAAAATTTACCAAGGTTTTAGTATTATTTCACAACTTAGAGGCAGGTAGAGACAGAGACAGGTGAAGTTCTGTTAATTTGAGTCCAGCCTGATCTACAGAGCAAGTTCCAGAACAGTCAAGGCTACACAGAGACACCTTGTCTCAAAACACGAAAGAAAAAAAGTGATCATGTGATCATATTTTTTAGACAACTGCCAGAAATAAAAAAGTAAGAATTAATAAATTAAAATTCCAGCAGAAGAAATCTATTTATAAATAGGAATGTTTTTCAAGCCCAGAATCAATTTATACACATTTACAAGAATCAATTAAAAGACATCTTGTTATTTTTAATCCATGAATTTTTAGAATCAGTTTTATTTCTGCCTAAAAACACCACATAGTATTTTTTCCTTTTTCTCTCATATATAATATCCCAATCACAGTTTCTGCTCTCTTTACTCTCCCCACCTTTTTATCTCCCCTCTCCCGCAGACCTCCTTCTCCTCCATTTCCCTTTAAAAAAGAGCAGGCTTCATGGGTATCAGCTGAGCAAACATGAGTCACAGTTAGACTAGGCACAAACCCTCATGTCAAGGCTAGATGAGGCCATCTGCTAGGAGGAAAAGGGTCCTAAGAACAAGCAAAGGAGCCAGACACTCTCTGCTCCCGCTGTTAGGAGTCCCACAAGAACAGGAAGCTAGCAACCATAATGTATGTATATGCAGAGGACCTAGCTCAGACACATTCGGGGTCTGTGACTGTCACTTCAGTCTCTGTGAGCTCCTATGAGCCCTGCTTAGATGATTCTGTGGGCTGCATTCTCATATCACACAGTGTTTAAACTAAAGAATGATGTCACGGCCTCTGTTAATTCATATGTACTAAGTTGTTTGCTACCAGCTCATGGTAGAGCAGAAGAGCAAACTAAAATCAGGTTAAGGGCAGAAGAGGAACGTGGGAATGAAAACAAAATCCTACAATTAGAGGCAAGGGCCTCCGACACATCTGAGAACAACAGACACCAAGAAAGACAGATGTTCCACATTTGACTCAATAAGCCACAGAACCCAAGAAATCCAGTAGCTCTAGACAACTTCATACAAAGAAACCAACAGAAGATGAAAATGGACGCTGAAGCTTGTTGAGTTGCAATTACCTTTCCTGTTGTGGTTGCAGGGAAGGAAGCCCTCCCTATCCCAGTTTGTAAGTGAGGACAATGACAGCAGCGACGGCAACCATGACTTATGTGATGATGACGATGTAGAAACGATCTCTTCCGTGGAGTATTTTATCCCTCACATATGTCGGGCCAAGGCAGCTTCACCTACCTATCCTGAGTTACAGTGGGTCCAAGAGGCAGAAGAAAAATCCTGTGGCACCCTGTCTAATGCCCATCTCTGTGACCCCAGCTGACCTGCAATAATCATTTCATAGATTTCCTTCCACAGCAGCTGAGAGTCGCAGCTTATGCCTTTCACAGGACCTCAGGAGAGACAGCTACTGCACAAGTCGGCACATAATAGAATAGGGGAAAAAAATCCCTGCTTACCAGAAACAGCGCACACAAAAGCAAACCAGAACTGAGTCAACCATTTCCACTCACTTGGTGGGGGAGCTGGGATGACCTTCTGGTGAGCAACGGTTTGCCAAGGAAAGGAGGCAAGGAAGGGGTTTTTAAAGCCTCATAAATGAGCCTCCGGCAGAAGGGGGACTTAAAAGGTTCCGGCAAATACTCATTTATGTACACTTCAGAAAAGAGCTGATCACCTGGCCACGCTCCCTTCCTTTCAGTACCTCCCTTTCCTGCGTCCCCCTGCCATCAGGCTCCCCACGTGGCAGTGGGCAGGCCAGCACAGGGAGGTCACCATTCCTCAAGATGCAGCCGCGAATGCCAGACTACCACAAGGCAGTAAGTCCCAAGTGGAAGGAGCACAGTTCATTGGGAAAGAGGATGGAGAACGAGGAGGTGCAGAAGGACAAACGGCTCAGCAGTCAGAGCACACAGGTTTTGACTCTGGTGTTCTCTTATCGATGAGTAAATCTCCCGATTCTCTCAGCAAGTGTAAGACAAAGACAGTCCAGTTCGCCTCAGAAGTGAAAAGTATGAGATCATTCTAACTTTCTTTTCATTCGGGAGATATATAACTGGCCACTGGCTGAGTGGGTAGCTGCTATGGGGCAGAACAACTGCAGAGGCATTTCTCTGTATTTCAGGAAGTTACTGAAAGGAAGCAAGCAAGCACACCTATGACTAAGGAAAACAATAAAATAAAAAGGTACTGTGCCAGCAAGTGAGTGTAACAGAGAAGAAGCCACAACAGATATGGAACGATGGTGCGCTGTACAGAAGTGCACATTCGCAAGTCTGGGATATCCTAAAACTTAAGGCTAAGAACATCTGACAACTTTCAGGTATCAGTGCTTAGAAAATGTTTGGTTGATCTCAATAGTGCCCATGTAGGACATCCGGGGTACATGTCTGTGGTGACCCCGGGTCTACAAACGCCCAAAATTATAGTCCTGGTGCTATGTCAGAACACTTAAGGAAGGCTCAGAATGAAAA